TCTATTTCCCATACAAATGCTCAGTCAGAATTTCAATTCTCAGGAACGAGAAGAACACCTGACAATATTGTTCTTCCCACATATACTGAATCCACATATATTCCAGTATCTGCTTCTGAACCCAACCTAGAGGAATTTCAGATATTAACCCTACAAATAGAAGAAAATATAGATGATCAAGACATAAATGATCAATATACGGATGAATATATAGCAGCTTACTTAGCAGCTAAAATAGAAAGGAAAAAGAAGAAGATTGATCATAATTATATCAAGCAAGATTTTATGTCAGAAGAAAATAAACAAATAAGACAATGGTATCATACAAAAGTACCATTACAATTAAGAGAAATATTACAGGCTAAATATAATAAATTCCTTAAAAAAGAAAAGGAAACAGAAGGATATTTTCAATGGTTAATAAACAATTATCAACATAAACTCCATATCCCTACATTTGATAAACTCCAAACATTGGAAGAAAAAACCTATCTAAGTACAGATGGTACTACAACTGCTAGTACACATCCACCTGCAAAAAGCATAATACTCAAGGCAGTCATCCCATCAAAGGATGAACCACTACAACCTCAATCAATGTACGATATAATTGCTAGTCCATATAAAATCTTACCTAAAGAACTTGGTAAGAAACAGGAATTAATACCTCATATAGTAGAACAAAATAATTATACAAATTTGTATATGCAATCTTTAGGAAAACAGGCGGAAAGAATAGAAAGGTTAATTTCAACAGAAAAAACCCCGACTATTCCTACTACTATTCCTAAAGCAGTTTTGTTCAAACCACCTCCAGAATTAAATAAAAACAAATTTCATATAGGAGATAATAATAAATCCCTAATGGATCAATTAATAGCAAAATTATCACAACTTGATATAAAGGGAATACCTTCTCCTCAAATTAGTATTCCTAAACCAATTACACCTGTTATATCTAGTCCCCTTCCTGAATCTTCAGATAAAGGAAAGGCTAAAATCCCAGAGCATGACACTATGATGCTCCAAGAAATAGAACAAAAAATTGAAGATACAATAGAAAACCAAGAAAATGTTTTCATGGATACTACACCTATTGATTTGAATAGAATAGCGTATGGAAAAAATTGGAAACCGATAACAGCTTTACCATATCACAAGAGACCAACTCCTGTGGATATTCAATTAGAAGAGGATCCAATACAACAAGTCATATCCTATTCAGGGAGATCAATAATAAATTGGTCAATAGATGGTTTATCAGATTTAAAACTATTAGATGTCATGAGGCACATGACAATGTTTGCATCTGCAAATAAAATGACAGGCAACCCAGATCAAGAAGTTGCCAAAGCAATAGTGAATGGTTTTACTGGCTGGTTAAGAGGCTGGTGGGATTTTTATGTCGATGATGAAACCAAAAATAGAATCCTAACCAATACAAGGCAATGGACCGCCAGAAATGAACAAAATCAAGAAATAATATACACTGAAAGTGATGCAGTGAATACCCTCATATATACCATTACACTTCACTTTGTAGGCAGTACATCACTGCTAGCAGCGAGAGCAGAGGATCTGCTCTCTAACTTACGCTGTCCTACATTATCCCATTACAAGTATATATATATATATATATATATATATATAT